CCTTCATAGTTTTCTGTGTGCATGCTCTCAAAGCGCGCACACAGAGAGCCACATTTCAGACAGCGTTCGAACACAGAATCGATTCCTCTTTCGCGAATCCTTGAGCCTGAACGGACACACACACACACAAAACTATCTCAAAATACCTGTCTCTGCAATTATTCTTGTAAACAGAGTCAGTTATGTCTTAAGTGAATGTAAACAGTGGAGAAAGAAATCGCATGTGTATCATTATATTGAATCTGTGCATTCGGTCTTAAAGGGACAGCAGCCTATAAATACCTGCGGCTATCATGGTAATCAAACAAAACACAACTTTAATGAAGACTAATCTAGATTTAATTTATACATTGAACACTATGCAGTGTTCAAGTTATTACATTTCTGTACCTGAAAACCATTTTTTGCTTCTTATTTGAAGAAAAAAATACAATCAAATAAGTTTTTGATCATGCTGATTTGTCCGCAGTGAAGTTCAGCTGAAGTATTTTTGTTCGGGCTAGTTGAATCCATTTTGGGCTACCAAAATCTGAAGAATGCCTGTCCAAAGGGCTACCAGGGATTTTGAAATTTTGCGAGCCCTGACTTTGGTCACCTTTGTTAAATATGAATATTCATTATCTGTCCTTGAGTGAAATCAGTTGCTAACCTTTAACTAAACAAACAAAGCACTGATCATTTCATAAACACTTAGCAATAGGTCTATAAATGATCTTTATTGTACACTTCCTCACAAGATATGCATCAGTGGATCTCTTCTTGCTGCTGCACTGAGCCACAGATTCTTCTATTAATTCTAAAAAGATCTGCTTAGGCAAAAACACCTTTTGTTAATGCCTTGAGCTGTTGTCGGTAATTGCTTCTAGATGAGGGTACGTCCTTTGAGAATTTCCATTTCCTCAGAAGCAATTGACTTACAGCCAATGTTGGAGCAAATCATTTTTGAAGAGGTGCACACTTATAAGTATCAAGAGCTCAGGTGGATACGACACCTGACTTTAAAGAGCTTGTGACTAATGCTGAACAGTTAAAAGGAAGAAGCTTCTAGTTAAAAATGTTTAAGGTGAAGTAATTTATGCTTGACTAGCTGCACCCAACAAATCTACCAACAGGGGCTTTTTGGACTATGCTAAGTAGCCACACCTTGACCCATTGGGCGGACAAAACACAGCAAAATAACTGAGTTTGGATTGGGACAACCTGAGGGGGTGGCATTTTGTGGTACAGAAATGAACCAAATTAACACTTTAACAGTTTGACAGTGAATGCAGGACATACTGACTATTGATAGGAACTTTTATTATTGGATTCAAAGTTCTAGATCATTTTAAACTACATCATCACCCAGCTCTAATCTGCCAATATAAGGCATGAAGTTGTCAAGATATTATAAAAATTAACATCATGTTTTTTTCTTAAAATACTTTATAATGTGTATTGTTTAAAAAACACTATTGTTTAATCAAAATAAATTTGATCTGATTTGTTGTTTGGTGGAATTGCTGTGGAAACTCTCTTTAAAACTCCAGCCCATTTAACTAGCTCACTTCTAAATATCCACAGCAGAACCCAGCCTTAAACGAATTCACTCACAGGGAAAAGTGTTACATAAGAGTGAGCACGCTGAGACAGATTTGGTTGCAGTACACTCTGTTACTGTGCGGCAGTGCTGAATACACACTTCTCTTATTGTATCATCCATAAATAAACTTGCTAGAGCAAAGCCTGATGCTTCTATTACTGTTCCTAGTTTGAAATGCTGACTGGATCCCTGCCATTTCAAGGCAAAGACCGCAAAGAGACAATGGCACTTATTCTCAAGTAAGAATTATTGTTGTATTTGTACATTTTCTGACAGCCTAGTGTTTTTGTGTGTGTGTGTGTGTGTGTGTGTGTGTTTTTAAAGATTTGTAATTCTAAACTTGTCCTCACAAATGGATCTGTCAAGATGATTTGTGATGTTTGTGGCTATGCATCACAGTCTCGTTTATTTTCCTAAATAAATAACAGATTTAATGGTCTCTTTTTTTTTCCTCAGGGCAAAACTCGGCATGCCGCAGTTCCTCAGCCCAGAAGTCCAGAGTTTACTGCGGGCTCTTTTCAAAAGAAACCCTTCCAATAGATTAGGTAGGCTACCATACATGAACCAAACACCGCCTTAAACCAACAAATATTCTATTCACCTGCCTTCCATCTTTTTTTTGGTTCATCTGTAAATGTAATTTGGGTTGTCACAATACTGATGCATATAAGACACCACATATATGACAGTAAACCACATCAATCAACTAGTTGGTTGTTGGAAAACAAGTCAATTGTCAGGTTTCATCTGTGTGTTTTTTCTTTTGTTTTACCTTGGTTTGCGCATTCTCATGTTGTTTGCTTTCCACCTGTGTCTGGTTAATGATCTTGTTCAGCCTGTGTGTGTGTATATATAGCCTCTGTTAGGTTCAGTCCAGTGTTTTTTTTTGTAGAATGTTTTTCTGCGGTTTTCCTAGTAGTCTCTGTTTATCCTGTTTAATGAAGGAACTGCTGTTCACTAGGATCCTCTTCATCACTGCTCTTTTATAATTTGCATTACCCAGCGTAACATCACTTTAATTAGTACTGATTATTATTTTTTTGAATACCAAAGTACTGCAATTACAGTGCTACAAAACACTGTTATACTTTTTTTGTTGCCCATGGTATTGATGGTCAGTATGTGATTTAGTGTGAAAACAAAACATTTGTACAATTCTTGCAAAGACCGAAAGACATTCCATGGAAGTCCTACTATTTGAGTTCTTCACTCACAATTCTCCCCTTTCTTTTGTTTTTTTCTTTTCCTCCTACTGTTTGGAGTCATTTAGTGTTTGTCTGTTATCTTGAAGCATTTTAATAAGTTCAGACTTTTAGCAGACTCACAAGGCTCTGCTTGAGTGATCTAGATTACATAGAGTATGCCTGGAAGTCTCACCTAAAGCCTTATTTTAGATTTAGTTTTGTCTGTATGTGACTGTATAAATCTATTTAGAAGAAAAAAAAAACATGTAACATAAAATACCACATGAGAAGAGCTGATTTAAATTGCCTAGGGGCCATCAAAGACCAGCAAATCACAGGTATACGCTTTTTTTTTCAGTGTAAACAATATGAAATGCTTAGCACAGTATGTATCAGATGGTCACAGTGATACCAATTTTAGTTGAACATAGTATAAATCAATTGTGCATTGTTCTTACGACAGCAGTAGTGGGCATGAATATCATTTTAGTCAGAGATGATTTCCTGTGTGAATGACTGCAGACAGACTTCCAGACGCTTCTACTGAATGTTTGTCAAAGCCGAGATTGAATTTAGCTTCGTGAATCATTTTATCCATAATTTATAAGGCAGAGATAAATGCCATCGAGACCTTGTGTTGACTGTGGCTTAATATTCTTCTGTCTCAGATTAGTTGTATACATCCCAGCCAGGTCCTGACTCACTCGTGTAGGACGACTAACATAGTTTGAATGGTCAAATGAAAATGGAATGGTTAATAAGCTGGAATAGTGTTGTGCGGTAGAGCGCAACAATAGGTTTACGGAAATAAAAATCCTATTCATTTTGTTCAGAGAGAAAATAATTATTAGTGATAGCATATAAACCTGAGCTACCATGAGGTTGTTAAAATGGTAATTCACCATTTTCAGGATGGGCTTTTAATAAAACATGCAGTTTATGCTGTAGAAACGCCAAACAAATAAAAATGGTGCGACATGACTACAGAATATGGAGAAAAAGGGCTGTGGCATTCCCTTTAGCATTTCCTCTGTTGATCTAAAACATGGAAAAATAGCACATTGTTCATTTACATATACTACAGATAACTGTAACAATACAAAGCTAGTAGAAAATTGGTGAACGTATCCTTTAATTGATGAAGTATGCCTTCTGTAGCCTTCATTTCAGTTTCATTTTATAGTTATTGTCGATTTCCTGGTGAAAACTACATTACCCACACTCTTAAGAAAGGTTCTAAACAGTACTAAAAAAGGGTTCATCGGCTTTTCACATCAGCAGAACCCTTTTTGGTGCTAAACAAAATGATTTTTATAAGGTTCAATAAAGAACCACGCTTTGAAAGTGCTATATAGGACCTTGATGGTGTTATAAATAACCTTTTTATTGGTAAAGCTTATTTCATTAATATTAGTATATATGTGTGTGTGTGTGTGTGTGTGTGTGTGTGAAACATTAGTATTATTAATACAATTTTGATATAATTTTCATTTTGTGTGAATTAGGTACTTTTTTGATATGTAAAAATGTAGCAAAAATGTCAGTGCTCTTATACAGTTATTAGCTGAACAGATTAATAAATGACAATTGACATAGAAATGGGAATAAATACATAAAGAAGTAAAATACAACATAGAAACAGAAAATAGATGTGATGAAGACCAAGTTCCAGTGAAATATCTTCACAGTCCTCTATGATGCTTTTAAGTCCATCATTTTGGTGTGCAGATGATGAGGTTGTGGGATCTGACAGCATCTGAAATACACAATTGAATTTAGAGTTACAGTGTCTCTTCTATTTGTTTATGTAAAAACAATTATGATCACGAAGGCCAAAAGTAGCAACAAATGGACAGTATGTGAGCCATTCACACAGAGTTTAAAGGAAAAAGTGATATAGTCATGGGATAGCTTTAATGTTTTTTTTTTGTTTTTTTTGTGACTGGGTATGTTTATGCATAAACCCAAGTAATAGAAAAAAAAATCTAACACAATTCCTTGGTGGAGAAGAGGAAAGAAGTATCCTCAGCTTAACAGAGCTGTTCGTACTTACATGTGACCAAAAAACTAAAATGAGAAAAGAACATGTTTGTTTGGAAATCAGTTACTATTTAAAACTTAAATTTGTGTTTAAATTTAAGAATGAAATCATTTAGCCTGTTGAGAATGTGTTGACAGTCTGTGTAGTTCAGGGGTGTCCAAACTCGGCCCTCCAGTTTAGCTCCAACTTGTCTCACACACCTGCCTGGAAGTTTCTAGTATGCCTAGTAAGACCTTGATTAGCTGGTTCAGGTGTGTTTAATTGGGGTTGGAGCTAAACTTTGCCGGACAGTGGCCCTCCAGGAACAGGATTGGACACCCCTGTTGTAGTTGGGATCACTGAGCTCCAGTAATAATGAGTTACAGATTTGAACAAAAAGAACAAAATGAACCATTTCAGCATGAATGGGTTCTTCAGGATGCTAGGGTTCTATATAGAACAGTTACTACATGTAAATAACCTTTTTATAGAGTTTATAACCCTGAAGAGAGATCCACCAATCAGAGAAGTCACTGTTACCATGGGAATAGAAATCATGGCCGTGACCACCATCAGTGGTGGAAGATGTCTTTTGCAGCCAGATGATACGGCACCTGCTAACAGGGGCTAACTGGGTTATGCTAACCAGACAAACCTTGACAACTTGGTTGCACACTATCGCACAGCACTTTTAGATTCCTATTTGTTGAGGCTTTAAAAGCTTAGCTACAGCAAGCAGGATGGGACACAGAGCTGTAGAGGATTTCAGCAGAGTGCTTTCAACACTTGTCTGACTCACAAACAGACCAATGTTTCATGGAATCTTATCCTTTAATTTTTTTTTTTTTCTGTGACAGATGGGTTTTTATGAGGCATTTCATCCCAATCAAAAATATATATATGTCCATGCAACCTGTTATCTGACTGAATGTTTGTCCTCCGGTTGTTTTGCAGGCGCAGGACCTGATGGAGTGGAAGAAATCAAGCGGCATAAATTTTTCGCAACAATAGACTGGAATGTGAGCTCCAAACTTTGTACTTAATACTATGTAATGCTATGTAATGTTAATCACTCTTGAATATGTAGCCTGGTGACTCATGAGTAGGACAAGATCGTCTACCGTTTTATTCAAAGATTCCATTTTAATTGCTGTGTGTGATTGCATGACCAGGCTTATCTTCACGTAAGAGTTAAGAAAGGCAAAAAATTAAGGAAGAGCTCCCAAAACATGAACAAAAAAATGACTTAAACCTTTTTCGTAGCATACGGTTTTCTGCATATTGCATTGTAAACTGTATATTATTAGTAAATCCTAAGTTACTGAATTCTGCTGACGATTTTTTTTTTTTAAATGAGTATAGGTGCGTTCCAGATTAACCGTAAAAGCCATGCAAAGTGGTCTTCACAGCGTATTTCACAGTCTTAAGTGAGATTCCAATCCGAAGAGGGCATACAGTAAATGCTCAGTTTGAAGGGAACTGTGAACAGCATAGGGAATAAGGGAACATCACTTCACAGGATGTGGAGAGGGAAATTTACCCAACAGTCATTGCCCATCACTCCAGCAATTGAAGTCTGAATAAAAGACGGTGAAGAAGAAGAGTTGAGGCTCTGCCGTTATTATTTTGTTTAATTACTACCTGGTGTGATTCGTGTGCAGTTGTTTGAGACAAGAGACTGTGGTCACATGACCTTATTATATTTTTAATCCGACTTCATTACATGCATGTCTTAATTCAGATATAATCATGTCCGAACAGTTCATGTGTATTTTAAAATCACGTTTAAAATGACTTAAAATACCAGAAAGTACCAGTTAATTCAAGCACACTGTGTGATGATTGCATTGCATTGTGGGATACAGTGTTCCACAGAGTGTTTTTTTTTGTACTGCTCAAAAAATACGTATTGTACCTTTAAATCTTTTTTTTAACGATCAACCATTAAAGTCATATTTAAATATTCAGACATAAAACTGTCTATGCTATGCTATAATTATGTTTATCCTATGCTATTATGCTATGTTTATTTATGTTATCCAACCCTTAGTTCACATAGCTTTTAAATGTTAATGTTTTATGAAATTACTGCTCAAAATTCACAGGAAGCTCCATTATGTTTGATCCATTTTTTTCTGTAACATGTATAACCTCAAGCATTGGTGTATGTCTTAAATGATGCATTTTTGGTCAACAGAAATTGTACAGACGAGAAATCAAGCCTCCGTTCAAACCAGCAGTGGGCCGACCAGAGGACACATTCCATTTTGATCCTGAGTTTACGTCCCGCACGCCGACAGGTGACACAAATTGCATTCGATTTTCAGATTACACGTAACACTCATATGCCATTTTATTTAAATTATGGATGGATGAAGTGTTTGCTTTCAAGCATCATAAGCCGGGTTTCCATACAAAGTAGTGAATTTAACTTATGCGCAAAATTGGAATATTTGCGAATAAGCACCGTTCCCATCCAACGAGTCAAAGAGAACAAAAACATCACTTCCTGATAAACTGGCACTAAATATAACAAAGAAAAGTAGGAGAAGCCACTGAATGTTAGGGCTGGGTATCGAGTTCGATACTTTTTAGGCACAGACCGAAATGCCTCGATACCATCGAGTATCGAAAAACGTCTCGTCGTTCGGTACCACATTTCAATATCTAAGGGGTTAATCTCATCAGCGTCAGTGAGCCAATAAGCCTGCAGCACTAGCCGGTGTGTTCGACTAGAAGAGGTGCGGCGCAGATCGATCAGTGTTTGGCATCCGCGAGAGCGATTCGAAAGCACACGGAGCTCTTTTTAGCTCTCGTGGTACTGTAAAACACCGATCGGTCTGCACAGTCAGTCCGCGTCATGTCGAACACACCTACTAGTTTACACCGGTTACACTCAGAGATGTGGCGCACACGTGAGGCTGTAGTGCGAATGCGTCCCAGCCCCCATAGATGTAAGGCTACATTTACACTGGTGCATTTATGTTTTAAAATGAAAACGATCCTCGTCATACTGGCGTTTCCACTGCGTTTCAAGCCGGCTTTCCACTATCTCCAAGCGACAGACTGAATTCAGATGAATTCAGTCATTCATTTCCAAAGGAGAGTAGCGCGGGAGCTGCGTGGAGTTCCGATCATATGCAGATGTCCGTTCATACTAACGTTACACGACCGAAAGCGCGTGTTATGTGACCATTCATGCAAACTGTAGCATCATGCTACATAAGACCAGGGTTTAAATTGGGCCGGGCCGTCTGGGGCTGA